AACATACACTGCACTAACAAAACCTGCAGTCAGATTTAAAAGGCTGCGGCACCACCGAGTTCCAGGGCATTGCACTAGCTCAGCACGACGGCCACATGACGTGTGGAATACTATATTATGCAAGCTTGATGAGCCGCGAACACTAACACTGCTTCAATCTAAACAGAGCGTCTCAGAAAAGAGAGTAATGATCTGCTCTGATCTTTGAATTTAAAGATACACACACACACTTGTGATCTTCCATCGACACATCTTGTCCCCAGTTCTGCTCGTGAGTAAGACTGTGTCACTCATCTATTTTTTTTTTCTCTTTAAAGAGCTAGCACAGGGATTCTGGGCCTCTTTTATCTTTCTCTTATTTGCATCCTCATGAAAATGCATGAGTGCTGGGGTGAGGCAGGATGAAGGGTTTAAGGTGGATAAAGCCTGTCTGAGACAGAGGGAACAGTTTGTAGTATTTCTTATATAAAGTCTGTGGTGCAAACAGGATGAAGAAAAAGGACATTGTGTTGTTTTATAGGTTTAACCATTTTCAGGACCCAATTGCCTTCACTCTCAATGAAATGCACCAAATCTGGAGTGATGTCATTGTTTTTTTATTTTACTGAAAGTAGGAGAACAGCACTGATTTTATGATTATAATTACACAGTGATCTCTCCGATCCACCTGAATGACTCCATGTGATTTGTCTTGTATATTTTTACCTAGAACCAGAAAAATGGAAACACTATTTCTTGGTTATGGTTGTATAACACCAGCAGAAAGCATCTCTGATAAACACATGAGTACACTCTTCCAAACCCCCATCTCACAGGAAGAATAAAATCAATGGATTTGCCAAGGCCCCTGATAGCTGCAGCCATGAATCTGTTGTACACTCAGCTGGATGTTTCTTTGTTAATGCTGCCTTTTATTTGTGTTAGTGCTGAAGTGTGTTACGACGATGCTGCGGTCCAAACTCACCGTCCCAATCTATGGGTATACTGTTTTCCATGTATTTATATTCTGATGGATTGGCTGCCTCCATCGTTCTCTTGGCCAGGACAACTCTTCCTGATCAAAAAAGGAAGAAGACAAAAACACAGTGAGTAGGAGCAGGAGTGAGACGTAGAAGCACAACAATGATGCATACAGATTGCGAAAGGCAACACAAACAAACACAAAGAGGCACAGACACAATGCTCTCTGTCTTCTGTTCAGTCAGACACGGATACAGTCAGACCCACAGACATACACACACACAAACACAGTGGGATGACAGGCCATGGATGATTACCTCGTGGCCCTCAGGCCCTTCACCTCAGATCTTGCTGAGTGGCTCCAAATCTGGGCTACGCTTTTATGCAAATGAGTCTCTCTAACCCAGCCAACCACAGCCCCCCTCGCTGGCACCCTCTTCCAATCACAGTGCACTGGCTAACAATGCCCTCCAAAATCAACATCAAGCTGAGCAGGAGACAAAAGAGGTGAGATATCAGAGACAACAGGAGAGGTGCGAGCTCAATTTGGCCCAATGTGCTGATTAGGCAAGTTTGTTGTAGTGTGACATGGAGGTGCAGAGGGGAGTTGGGGGGTGGGTGGAGAGTGATGCTCACAGAAAAGAAGAATTTCAAATAAAAAGAGTTGCACTGTTTCTTTGCAGAGATTCACTAATGAAAAATACCGTCTTCTTCTTATTTTCTTCAACAGGTGACAACCAGATGTTTGTCAACCAGCTCCTACTGTTTGCTTTGTTGGAAGGACAAGTTAAGGAAAGAGGTAAAGGAGAAAGGAAGAGACCCGCAGACAGGGATGATGATGTTGATGTTGATGGTGATGATGCATGGCAATCATGGCTGGAAGGAGAAAAAATGGATGTGCGAGGAAAAAACAGTACGCTCCAAAATATGGACAATCTGTCCATCACCGTTTCTCTGCAACTGAATGGACACAGACAAATGGAGGCAACCACCTACAAGCACACAGCAGACTGATGGCCTTAATTTACTTCAGCCATAACAGATAGCTACGGCACAGGAGTGAATAAGTTATGGCACTAGAAAGAAGCACAGAGAGCATCCTTTATCCACAGAGCTGTGTCCTGTCGCTCAGGTCTCTTCTTTTCAGCAGATTCCCTGCATTTAAAAAACGCCAATAAAGCCAAACAATAAAGTCTGTCGTTTGTTATTATCCTTACACTTAAACTTATGTATTACCACTATTACTACTACAATACCACTGTATTATACTTAGTGTATTTGGCAAAATCACAAAGGCCAATTTTTGAATCACATTTTGTGTAGTACAAATAAAACTCATTACTGATTTGGAAAACAAATCTGGGACACTTGCAGCAACCCCTGCCCCCTTCTTTTTTCCCTTTTTTTGGCTAACAGTTCACGGTCAACATTGTCTGAATCTCTTCATTATGCGTTTTGCAATTTTAATCACATGGAAATCCTGAATGTCATGCACACTCAGCAGCAGTTTCCGTTAGTTACCTTTAACGTACCCAAAAGTCTTCAGACTTTTTCAATCTTTTGACAATATTAATATCTGACGGATACAAAAATGTTTTGCTCTTCTTGCTTGAAGAAACAACCCTTCCTTGCTCAACCTGTTAGCAGCAACCCTACTAGTTTGGGGCAGCGCGTGGCAGAGTGTGTGGGTTCTCAGTCATCCAGGTCATCTTATCCAAAAATAGTTTACGAGGGCAACTGGATGGAGTGGGTTTCTTGAAGACATTGAACTGAAGAAGCCTCTTAGATGAGAGATGAAACATCTTCAAGTAACCTACGCCGTCAAGTTCAGGTCTTGTATCTGTCAAAGCAGGTTCTGTGATGCGGTGACTAAGTACTAAAAATGACTTTACTTCCCTAGCTTGCTGAGAGCAGACAACGCTCCTGTGGGATAGGTTACATGCAGAGGACAAATTCTTACTTACAGTATATGACATATGTAGTCTTAGCCTTTGTCCCCACTCTAGTGGGAGGCATTGCAGGCATCAACATATTACATATACATATTTGTTTATTTTTAGAAACCAGCCACTAAGGTGCACAAGCCACTGTTTCTATAGTGCCGGTCCCAAGCCCGGATAAATGGTGTGGGTTGCGTCAGGAAGGACATCCTTGGTGTAAAACCTTTGGCTAAATCAAATATGCTCGTGACTCCCGAGTCATATGAAAGATTCATGACTCCCGAGTCATATGAAAGATTCATGACTCCCGAGTCATATGAAAGATTTGTTCATATTGAACTCACGAATCACTCACAAATCACTCACTGCGAACTAATCACACTCTGCGAACTAATCACTCACTGCGAACAAATGTGAACTAATCTTTCACTATGAACGAATCACTCTCTGGGAACTAATCTTTCGCTGTGAACGAATCACTCTCTGTGAACTAATCTTTCGCTTCGTTCTCGCAGATTCGTTTCATTTGTCACGTGACAGAGAGCTCGGGTCTCTTTTGCTCTCATTCATCTTCACATTGTGGTGTGTTTTTATTTCTTAGCTTTTCGCATGGTTTTAATTGCTTATGGCATTTTGTGTACTTTGTAGACTTTGTCAGCGGAAGCAAACCATGTTGCCTTCAGTATTTAGTATCGGAGACCCGCAGCCTTCTTTACAATGCCCACAATAGGGCTAAAGCGCCACCTGCTGTAAAACGAATTGAATTATTAGTTCAAGATTCGTTCACGACTCGTTCATTTTATTGTTCCAGAGTCAAAGAGTCAAATCAGTAAAAAGAGGTTAAAGAGGTTTTCCCATCACTACAGTGGAGACTGTGGAAGAGAGGTGAAGAATAGAGAGGTGAAGAGTGCAGGCAGAATGGAACAGCTGGAGAAAAGTGTCAGGAGTCTGGATAGAAGATTGTCAGCTAAGGTGAAGGGAAAGGTTTACAGGACAGTGGTGAGACCAGCCATGATGTATGGTTTAGAGACACTAGCAAGAGGCGGAAGACAGGAGGCGGAGCTGGAGGTAGCAGAGTTAAAGATGCTAAGATTCTCTTTAGGAGTTACAAGAATGGACAGGATCAGGAATGAGGTCATTAGAGGGACAACACAGACAGGAAGGTTTGGAGAAAAAGCTAGAGAAGCCAGATTGAGATGGTTTGGACATCTGTGGAGGAGGGACAGTGGATACATTGGTAGAAGAATGCTGGAGATGGAGCTACCAGGTAGGAGACAAAGGAGATTTATGGATGCAGTGAGGGAGTATATGCAGATAGTTGGAGTCAGAGTAGAAGATGCAGGGAACAGGGTGAAATGGAAAACAATGATACGCTGTGGCAACCCCTTAAAAAAGGGACAAGCCGAAAGGAAAAGAAGAAGAAGATATTTGTTAATTTTTAGCAGACACAAATCTCAAAACTGCTTTTTCAAATAAACTACCAACTTTTCTGGAAATAAAATTTGTTTAAGCACTGCTTTGTAAACTGATTCCTGTAAAGACAAACGCAGTTTGCCTGGGTAGAATAGTTCTTCTCTATACTATATTCAGCCTCTATACTAATCAGGTCAACTAATTAGGCTAGAATTGCTTTGGTTCTGCTTTGGTTCCCACTAGATTGTCATTATAGGGCCTCACCGGCTTCAGCTCTGCAGCATTAGTTTTCTAATATCCAGGTCTTGGATAAAAAAGAACCTGACTATATTCTCTAACCTTATCTAGAAGATTGTGTAAAACACATTTCTGCACGGTCCTCGCATTTGTGCGTTTCTGCTCATAAGCAGAACAAAAACGCTTTCAGAGCAACAAAGTCCTGCATTCTCCCGCCGACCATAACAAATGTATACAGCAGTGATGGTAGTTATGAACAGATCCTATCTATATTTGCATAGTGTGGGTGTGGGTATGATACAGTCCCCACAAGAAACTACAGCTAATACCTCACTAATAAGCATGAGCAGAGGCTCCTACTTTTTCTCTGACTCTCTCCACTAGGTTGCATCTCCCTATCCACTCTGTCACACTCCCACATGGCTCTCTTGTTTTGCTGCTTTTGCAGCGTGACTAAACCTATCCCAGCGAGGCTTTTATCTAGGGATGCACCGATCCGCATTTTTTTACCTTTGATCCAATCCCGATATTTTGGATTTGGATATCAGCCGATACAATACTATTCCGATACTATTGCTTTAATATTATTATTACATGCGTGTATTTCCCAAAAGGCACCTTGTGGTTAGTATAAGGTCAGAAAAGGAAGTCAAAAATACAGGAAACCATGTTAACAGGAAAAATCCCATCCTTAAAACAAATATGTAACTGTATGGGTTTGAAATTGAACGTTTTATTAAGTGCAAAGTAAACATCTTACAACAACGTGTTCATCTGCCCTTATTCAATTCATTGCTGGCTACATTGACGGTCAATCAACATGTAGTTCAGCAGTATATGACTTTTTTTAGTTAGAAAACATTAATAATTGGAGCATTAATAAAAAGAGGCCTCGTTCTGTCCTTGTATAGCGCGTCTAGGACGAGCGTGTGTTTCATTTACCATTTACAGGTTACCTCTTTGAATTTCAGCTCTGCAAATATCGCATGTTGCTGTGTGGTTTTCGGTCCTTGCTAATATTTCCACACAGTGGGTCTGTTATTCTAA